AGGGGAAAGGAGCTGGCCTGCTCTAGAGCAGTGATGGCGAACCTATGACACGCGTGTCAGAGGTGACATGCGAACTCATTTTTTTGGTTGATTTTTCTTTGTTAAATGGCATTTAAATATATAAAATAAATATCAAAAATATAAGTCTTTGTTTTATTGTGGTTGCAAACATCAAAAAATTTCTATATGTGACACAGCATCAGAGTTAAGTTAGGGTTTTTCAAAATGCTGACAGGCCGAGCTCAAAAGGTTCGCCATCACTGCTCTAGAGAGAGCACAGGGTGAGTGCACTGGGTCCTTCGCCTTAAGGATTTTTTATCTGTTTTCTAAAGGCAGGAATTTTAGGGGAGGTCTCAGAGGAGGTTCTCAATAGAATACAAGTCAGCTTTCCTGGTGTGTCCTTTCAGGGTTGTGGTCTCTACCGATGGTTCAGTGCTAGGGGAGGGAGTCATTGGTCATGGCACCTGGTCCTGCTGTCAGCCTGCAGTGGACTCGCTTCATCTGGTTTTGTTGCTTTTCTGGGCCTGGAGCTGAAACACAACTGAGGCCTAGATTTTACCTCTAGTGTGACCAAAACTGTGTCTGTGTGGTCAATATACGCAAGGCTTTGCTCCTAAGATTATTTGATCCTGATCAAAACCTCATTGTCGCCCTGACCGGTTTGGCTCAGTGGATAGAGCATCAGCCTGCGGACTGAAGGGTCCCAGGTTCGATTCCGGTCAAGGGCATGTACCTTGGTTGCAGGCACATCCCCAGTAGGAGTTGTGCAGGAGGCAGCTGATCAATGTTTCTCTCTCACTGATGTTTCTACCTCTCTATTCCTCTCCCTTCCTCTCTGTAAAAAATCAATAAAATATATATTTAAAAAAAACACACACACAAAAAAACCTCATTGTCCTGAGGGCTTAGTGCTTAAGGGAGTGACTGTGCAAGGGAGGAGGAGGAAGGTGAGTCGGGATGCTGGATGGGGCCAGTTTGAATCACTCTCTGTCTCAATTTCACCATTCCCTTGATTCAGAAGGACATCCTGATAATAATAACCATTATTTAGTACTAGAGGCTGATGCACAAAATTCGTGCCAGGCAGCTCAGCCCTTGTGGCCCCGGCTGCCTCCCGGGCCCACCCCCTGCCCACTGGTCATTCCGGAAGGTCGTTCCACCATCCGATCTAATTAGCATATTAGCTCTTTATTATATAGGAAGTGTCAGGCTTTCTTCTAGTGGTTTACAGTCTTACGTCACTTGATCTCCATAAAAACCCCTAGT